TTGGTACATAGATGTCATAGGACACTGCACAGACCTGATAGTTGTTAGGGTAATACGAGTACATATTAATTACCTAATTAGCATAATTAATTAATTTTCAGCTTTTAATATTTCAAGTAGTAATCATCACATTTCAATGAAATTTGGTACATAGATGTCATAGGACACTGCACAGACCTGACAGTTTTTAGGGTAATATCAGTATATATTAATTAGCTAATTTGCATAATTAATTAATTTTCAGCTTGATACAAGTACTAATCATCACATTTCAATGAAATTTGGTACATAGATGTCATAGGACACTGCACAGACCTGATAGTTTTTAGGGTAATATCAGTATATATTAATTAGCTAATTTGCATAATTAATTAATTTTCAGCTTTTGATATTTCAAGTAGTAATCATCACATTTCAATGAAATTTGGTACATAGATGTCATAGGACACTGCACAGACCTGATAGTTTTTAGGGTAATATGAGTACATATTAATTACCTAATTTGCATAATTAATTAATTTTCAGCTTTTGATATATCAAGTAGTAATCATCATATTTCAATGAGACTTGCTACATAGATCTTCTAGGATTATGCAGACACCTGATTAGTTTTAATTGGATATTAATTACCTAATTTGCATAATGTTCCACTGATATATAAAGAACCACAAATTGGATTTTAATGAAACTTTTAAAGAGAACTATGCAGAAACCCAATTAGTTTTTGGTAAATATTTATGCTTATTAATCACCTAATTAACATAATTAATTAACACTGATATCTCAATTACTGATCATCACATTTGAATAAAATTTGGTACATAAATGCTCTAGGACAATGGACAGGCCTGATTAATTTTGATTAATATTAATTCTCTAATTTAGCATAATAATTCATAATTTTTTTGTTCTGTTGTTCATATTAGTTACCTGATTTACATAATTAGTTTTCAGCTTTTCCATCAATATCTCATGTACAAGTAATTTTTAATTAATTTTTAATGTGTCTTCAATACTCTCAGCACACAGGAGTTCTTTCTAAGCTTTCTTTGATTTGAACTTGAGTTAGATCATGATGCGTTGAACCACTGTTCTGACAGTGGAAGCCCCTCCTCGAGTATGAGCCCCATCCCTCCAGTTAAAGACATTTATCGAGTTGGGGAAACTTGCGATTATCAGCCTGGAGTGTTTTTGCCGGGCATCGACAATATTCTTTAGGGGGGGGCAATGGTTATTTTCGTTCAATGTAATTGCAATATTTTTTTGTTCGTAAAACGTAAATTGAAAAAATAAATTCGGTAATTCTGTAACCACAGTTAGACGTATAACATAATCAATCAAATATTTTTTTCGTACACTGTAAAAATGTGTCATTTTTCTCGGTATGTACACAAATTTACATCCAAATAAAATCAAAGAAAGCTTAGAAAGAACTCCCATGTGCTGAGAGTATTGGAGACGCATTAAATATAATTCGAAATTACTTAGCTGAAAACTAATTATGCAAATCAGAAAATTAATATGAACAGATTTGAGTGTAAAACTAATGAGGTCTGCGCAATGTAACAGAAAATCTATGTTTCCAAGTTTAATTGAAATGTGATTAGAACCAAAAAATTATGAATTATTATGCTTATTAGGGAATTAATATGAACAGATTTTTACCCCAAACTAATTAGGTTTGTACATTGTCCTAGAGCATCTTTGTACTAAGTTTCATTGAAATGGAATAATTAGTACTTTAGATATCAGAGTGAAAGCTTAAAATTGGTTAATTATGCAAATTAGGTAATTAATATGTACAGATTTTAACCCACAATTATCCAGGTCTGTCTATTGTCCTACAGCATCCATGTACATTCATTGGTATGTGATCCATGCACATTCATTGGTATGTGATGTTTAGTACCTGATATATCAGAGTGAAAGTTGGTTAATTATGCAAATTAGGTGATTAATATGCACAAATATTTACCGGAAACTAATTGGGTCTGCATAATTCTAGATTCATTGAAATGTGATGATTAGTACTTTAGATATCAGTAGAAAAGCTGAAAATTAATTATGCAAATTAGGTAATTAATATGCACAATTATTTACCCTAAAACTAATCAGGTCTCTGCATAGTCCTAAAGGATCTATGTACCAAGTTTCATTGAAATGCGATGATTAGTACTTGAGATAGCTGTGGAAAAGCTGAAAATTAATTAATTATGCAAATTAGGTGATTAATATGCACAAATATTTATCAGAAACAATCAATCTCTGCATAGTCCTTGAGTATGTAAGTACCAAGTTTCATTGAAATGTAATGCTCACTACATATATCAAA